TCTTTCACCTTTACCCCGAGACCCAACAGCGAGTTCTTGGGCCACTTTCTGATGACTTGAGTTGAATCACCCAACAATGTAGATTGAGGTTCCTTTCAAAAGTTGTGTAGATCCTGCAGTCAAGGATTCCCATGACTCCATAATGCCGGGCCATTTCAGGTCTGGATCTGCTTCTTCAAGCTAATTACAAGTTGATCGTCATCTAAATACCTGTTCAAATCAAGAACCTCTCAGTTCAGAAACACAAAACAACATCTATAATTGTTCAAGCTAATCTAGATTCAGCATACAGACCATATTGTTTCAGCAGGCTTTATTTTCTCAAAAAGCTGATTAGTTTGTAGAAGAGTAATCAGAGAACCATGGCGCTTTATTCTAACAGTTAAAGAGGTTCCATCAGCATCGACAAATATATCCCTGGAAGTTGAAAGTTCTTGCTTCCCAAGTTGTAATCTCAATTCCACCTCAGAGGAACTGTCAGCAAACTGTATACTTCACATAATCAGTAGCTGAATGGCGTTGGTGAAGCTCAGAAGGGAGAGGTGTACTTAAACAGCCCCAAGATCCTTTATTTGATTGAAACTTATTTCTATGTCATGAACAATGAGATAAAATAGCCATAAGCAATCAATAACACAAAAGCAACTCCACTCCATAGTCTAAGTTGAGGTTATTAAGGCTCTATTGCATAATTCTCTTTCCTTATTGACAAAATACAGCAAAAGCTGGGAAAAGATAATTAATTATCTAACAGTTGAACCATCAATCATCTCAAATTTCACCTAAATATCAAAGAAGCTTTATAGAGAAAGCAATGACAAAATACCAAGCGTATATCCGATACCACTGACCTAAGCTTCATGTTTTCTTTCATTATTACACATACATCACTTGTTCGAGCTTAAAAAAAAAAAAAAAAAAAAAAAAAAAAAAAAAAAGAAAAGAAACTGCTAGGAAAAACAGAAAGCATTCTCTTCAAATTTTCCTGGCAATAAAACAGAAGGAAACCTCGTAATTTGTGGTGTTCGCGGAGAGATTGGAGAAGAACTTGCAGGAAGAGAAGCAATTGAATCGGCGGGTGGAGACGACCGCGTTTGCCTTGATGAAACGATATCGGGTTGAGGAAGAGGTGGAGATGAGTGTGGAAATTCGAGTTGCAGAATGAGAAGAAAAAGAAAAATGAACTCTATGGAGAGAAAAGAAAAATAGGGATTTGGTAGGGTGTTGGGAGTGGATACAGCAGGGAGTGGAAGTTGTCACACTAGCCATTTTTGTTCATCTGGATTTTGGAGGAGAGGGGGAACGAGGAGAGAGGAGAACGGACGATTTGGTTTGGATCAATTTTTATTTGTTCGTTCTTTTCTCCGTTATGGGCTGGTCTTGGATGGGCCCATCCATGATTTTAAAATTATTTTTATATTTAAAAAAAATTCAAAATGTATCATTTAAAATATATATTAATCCAATTCAACATAATAACAACATAGTTATATAGATATATATATATATATAAGTTATCACAAATTCCATATTAATTTCTCTGATGGTAAAAATCAAATTCATATTCAAGGTAAAATTTAATTCCTATATAAAAAATTTAATTCATATTTAATGTTGCTAATAGTTCAAACATTACAAAATTATATCTCCATAGTCACTTTTAGATTGGAATATGAGCATCTTATTAAATTCCTAATCTTGTTTGAGGTCATGAAGAAAAAGGATGATCATTATGAGTATGATAGCTTATTATGGTCTTTTATATTTGATGTCCATTTTCTTTTAAATAATAAAAATATTTTTTTTAAGCAGTAAAGATTGTACAAATATGGAGTAAATACGTTAATTCCTATACTCATCTCACTAATAAAAATATAAGTCTATATTTGAAGTAGGTAGAAAGTTTTTTACCCATCAAAATATCCTCATGGGTAAATTCTCTACTCGTTACCCATCCCATTTAATTTAAAAAAATTTATGTAATATTAATTATTAATTAAAATAAAATATAATATTTAAATACAACTATAAACCAACATTATAAATTACAACATTAAATATTTACTAATTAAAATTTAATTAATTTAAGTAAAATTAAAAATTTATTAATTATATATAGTCCTACAGGTGCAATGAGTAAATTATTAAATTTATAACTATTTCATACTTATTTCTGAATTTATAATTTTTTATTTATACTCACTCTATACTCCATTAATTTTATGTCTTTATCCGTTCTTTCTATTGTGGATTTGGGCAGGTTAACAGACCATCCATCCTAATATTCATCTTTATCATAGTAAATAATCTATTTAAAGACTATTTAAAATATTTTTTTCATAATAAGATAATAAAATAACCTTTTTATTTAAAAAAATTATGTTTTTCAGTATCAAATAATTTAATATCATTTGAAAGTCCAAAATAAGTACAAATAATAATTTAAATTATTAAAAATATTTGTTTCATTTCAATAAAATTAATCGTACTCTTTAGATACCTAAACGGTAAGTTTAGTTGGCTACTAAATCCTTAAAATTATTAACATTTGTTTTCTTTTTCTTTTAAGTCTTTGGCATTATGGCCAATTGAATCCCATTTATTTCTTTAAAAATTTATTTGTTTATGCTGTGTATATTTTCTCTTTTTCTTGGTAGGTTTCTTGGATCTTATTTTATTATTTTTTAGGACAATGTTATTTTTTTCTATAGTTATTTGGATTCAATTCACATAATTTTCTTCAAATTTTTATTTTTTTTATTTTGTATAAAATTATAATTTTTATAGAATATTTAAATATAGTTGAATTTTAAATATAAATACGTAAAAATTTAAAATTAAACAATTCAAAATTAATAAATGAGTCAAATATCAAATATAATATTTAAATTTTAATGTTAAAGCACATTTATTCATAAAAAACAATTAACCAAGGAAATTATTACGTTATTGATATTAATATTACTATCATCTCCAAGTAAAGTTGGCTTGCATAATACTTCAATTGTGTTTTTGCCATTTGTCTGGATATCTTCTTTTGCATGGTTTTTCTTATGTTGTTTCTCGACTTGATTTTTTAGTTTCTTAAACCTTTCTTCGAGAATTATTTTATAGCTCACCACCTTTATGTTGCCTCCAGTCTTGGACATCCTATCAAGATCTATTAGGACTTGGCGGACTCCCATTGGAGAAAGCCATACCTCAGGTTCAACACTGTGAAGACTGTAAATAACTGCATATATTTTAACTCCAAATAAAGTTGTCAGTTCACTTACTCCTTGAATAATTTATTCTTCTTCTTGTTGAAGGTCATCTTTTTGGCAGTATCGTGTCAACAATTCCATTAAAAGTATTTGGATATTATGCTTTTATCCATATTCATCCTCATAACTGCTGAAAACTCGACCCATGTGCTATAAAATGTATATTTTTGGGATTTTTACTAAATCAGAAGGGGTATAAGTGTTATTCCTTGACTACAAGAAGATATTATGACTCTATAAATGTTTATTTCTTTAACCATCAACCATTTTATCTCAATACTGTCATTTAGGAGGAGAGAGAAAACGAGGAATGTCATTATCAGAATGCTGAGAATTCATTAGTAGAATTAATTCCAAGTTTTTCAAGTTTCATTGAACCTGTACCTCAAAATATTAATTCTAATATTGAGTTTGTATCTCCTGAGCCTAATTCCCCATCTTGAGGTATCAATAAACATTGTGTACAATGAGCTTCATACCTATTTGAGAGTACGTGTCCCCACATAAGAGGGAGAATCTCAAACACTATCCAAACCTGAACATGCTTTGAACTGGCTCATTGCTCTACGAAAAGGAATAAGATCCTATACTCAACATGCTTCGTATAATTATATCTTTTATTCAAGACACTCACCTAAGTTCATCAAATAAACATAACACAATTTTTGAAAATTTTAGAAATGATTTGAAGTAGTTCATTGCTCTACGAAAAGGAATAAGATCTTATATTCAACATGCTTCATATAGTTATATCTTTTATTCAAGACACTCATCTAAATTTTGAGCATTTATTACAAGTTCTTATGTAGCTTCTTACTAATATACAAGAGGCCATTAGAAATCCTTCTTGTAAGGTAGTTGTCTGTGATGAGATCTAAACTTTAAAATATAATCAGACATAAAAAATGACCAAACTACCCTTAGGAAA